CAGCACATATTCAGAACTGACTAGCATTACTTCAGAACGAAAAGACCTAATTCAGCACATAGTGGCAATTTTTCAGATTAATTCTAGCCTTCTCAGCACATATTCAGAACTGACTAGCATTACTTCAGAACGAAAAGACCTAATTCAGCACATAGTGGCAATTTTTCAGATTAATTCTAGCCTTCTCAGCACATATTCAGAACTGACTAGCATTACTTCAGAACGAAAAGACCTAATTCAGCACATAGTGGCAATTTTTCAGATTAATTCTAGCCTTCTCAGCACATATTCAGAACTGACTAGCATTACTTCAGAACGAAAAGACCTAATTCAGCACATAGTGGCAATTTTTCAGATTAATTCTAGCCTTCTCAGCACATATTCAGAACTGACTAGCATTACTTCAGAACGAAAAGACCTAATTCAGCACATAGTGGCAATTTTTCAGATTAATTCTAGCCTTCTCAGCACATATTCAGAACTGACTAGCATTACTTCAGAACGAAAAGACCTAATTCAGCACATAGTGGCAATTTTTCAGATTAATTCTAGCCTTCTCAGCACATATTCAGAACTGACTAGCATTACTTCAGAACGAAAAGACCTAATTCAGCACATAGTGGCAATTTTTCAGATTAATTCTAGCCTTCTCAGCACATATTCAGAACTGACTAGCATTACTTCAGAACGAAAAGACCTAATTCAGCACATAGTGGCAATTTTTCAGATTAATTCTAGCCTTCTCAGCACATATTCAGAACTGACTAGCATTACTTCAGAACGAAAAGACCTAATTCAGCACATAGTGGCAATTTTTCAGATTAATTCTAGCCTTCTCAGCACATATTCAGAACTGACTAGCATTACTTCAGAACGAAAAGACCTAATTCAGCACATAGTGGCAATTTTTCAGATTAATTCTAGCCTTCTCAGCACATATTCAGAACTGACTAGCATTACTTCAGAACGAAAAGACCTAATTCAGCACATAGTGGCAATTTTTCAGATTAATTCTAGCCTTCTCAGCACATATTCAGAACTGACTAGCATTACTTCAGAACGAAAAGACCTAATTCAGCACATAGTGGCAATTTTTCAGATTAATTCTAGCCTTCTCAGCACATATTCAGAACTGACTAGCATTACTTCAGAACGAAAAGACCTAATTCAGCACATAGTGGCAATTTTTCAGATTAATTCTAGCCTTCTCAGCACATATTCAGAACTGACTAGCATTACTTCAGAACGAAAAGACCTAATTCAGCACATAGTGGCAATTTTTCAGATTAATTCTAGCCTTCTCAGCACATATTCAGAACTGACTAGCATTACTTCAGAACGAAAAGACCTAATTCAGCACATAGTGGCAATTTTTCAGATTAATTCTAGCCTTCTCAGCACATATTCAGAACTGACTAGCATTACTTCAGAACGAAAAGACCTAATTCAGCACATAGTGGCAATTTTTCAGATTAATTCTAGCCTTCTCAGCACATATTCAGAACTGACTAGCATTACTTCAGAACGAAAAGACCTAATTCAGCACATAGTGGCAATTTTTCAGATTAATTCTAGCCTTCTCAGCACATATTCAGAACTGACTAGCATTACTTCAGAACGAAAAGACCTAATTCAGCACATAGTGGCAATTTTTCAGATTAATTCTAGCCTTCTCAGCACATATTCAGAACTGACTAGCATTACTTCAGAACGAAAAGACCTAATTCAGCACATAGTGGCAATTTTTCAGATTAATTCTAGCCTTCTCAGCACATATTCAGAACTGACTAGCATTACTTCAGAACGAAAAGACCTAATTCAGCACATAGTGGCAATTTTTCAGATTAATTCTAGCCTTCTCAGCACATATTCAGAACTGACTAGCATTACTTCAGAACGAAAAGACCTAATTCAGCACATAGTGGCAATTTTTCAGATTAATTCTAGCCTTCTCAGCACATATTCAGAACTGACTAGCATTACTTCAGAACGAAAAGACCTAATTCAGCACATAGTGGCAATTTTTCAGATTAATTCTAGCCTTCTCAGCACATATTCAGAACTGACTAGCATTACTTCAGAACGAAAAGACCTAATTCAGCACATAGTGGCAATTTTTCAGATTAATTCTAGCCTTCTCAGCACATATTCAGAACTGACTAGCATTACTTCAGAACGAAAAGACCTAATTCAGCACATAGTGGCAATTTTTCAGATTAATTCTAGCCTTCTCAGCACATATTCAGAACTGACTAGCATTACTTCAGAACGAAAAGACCTAATTCAGCACATAGTGGCAATTTTTCAGATTAATTCTAGCCTTCTCAGCACATATTCAGAACTGACTAGCATTACTTCAGAACGAAAAGACCTAATTCAGCACATAGTGGCAATTTTTCAGATTAATTCTAGCCTTCTCAGCACATATTCAGAACTGACTAGCATTACTTCAGAACGAAAAGACCTAATTCAGCACATAGTGGCAATTTTTCAGATTAATTCTAGCCTTCTCAGCACATATTCAGAACTGACTAGCATTACTTCAGAACGAAAAGACCTAATTCAGCACATAGTGGCAATTTTTCAGATTAATTCTAGCCTTCTCAGCACATATTCAGAACTGACTAGCATTACTTCAGAACGAAAAGACCTAATTCAGCACATAGTGGCAATTTTTCAGATTAATTCCAGCCTTCTCAGCACATATTCAGAACTGACTAGCATTACTTCAGAACGAAAAGACCTAATTCAGCACATAGTGGCAATTTTTCAGATTAATTCTAGCCTTCTCAGCACATATTCAGAACTGACTAGCATTACTTCAGAACGAAAAGACCTAATTCAGCACATAGTGGCAATTTTTCAGATTAATTCTAGCCTTCTCAGCACATATTCAGAACTGACTAGCATTACTTCAGAACGAAAAGACCTAATTCAGCACATAGTGGCAATTTTTCAGATTAATTCCAGCCTTCTCAGCACATATTCAGAACTGACTAGCATTACTTCAGAACGAAAAGACCTAATTCAGCACATAGTGGCAATTTTTCAGATTAATTCCAGCCTTCTCAGCACATATTCAGAACTGACTAGCATTACTTCAGAACGAAAAGACCTAATTCAGCACATAGTGGCAATTTTTCAGATTAATTCTAGCCTTCTCAGCACATATTCAGAACTGACTAGCATTACTTCAGAACGAAAAGACCTAATTCAGCACATAGTGGCAATTTTTCAGATTAATTCTAGCCTTCTCAGCACATATTCAGAACTGACTAGCATTACTTCAGAACGAAAAGACCTAATTCAGCACATAGTGGCAATTTTTCAGATTAATTCTAGCCTTCTCAGCACATATTCAGAACTGACTAGCATTACTTCAGAACGAAAAGACCTAATTCAGCACATAGTGGCAATTTTTCAGATTAATTCTAGCCTTCTCAGCACATATTCAGAACTGACTAGCATTACTTCAGAACGAAAAGACCTAATTCAGCACATAGTGGCAATTTT